TCTGTCTCATTAGAGGCAGCTCCAAATGAAGAGAGCAATGGGGGTCCAGGCCTCCACTCCGCTCTAGAGGGTGGCAGTGTCCAGGCCTCTGATTCCCAGGGAGGCTAAAGAAAACCTGGAAAGGCACTCTGGAGCAGCAGGATGGTCACAACAATAAGCCCAACACACAGTAGGAGCAGCAGCCACACAGGAACACTCCCTGTGGGAGGGGTAAGGGAAGAAGTCAGCAGGCAAAGAGGCAGGACAGCACCCTCAACCTATTCCATCCTAGGAGGTGGTGGATGCTACAAACAAGTAGCCCAGTCTCCAGGGGGAATGTTTTCGCTACAGCTTAAGGTGGGGCGGTACACCCCCCACAGTGACTCACGCCGTGAGGGCAGGAGGTGTAGCTGGCAGCGACTATCCACGGCCACAGAGAACAGGGCAGTTTCATGGGACCCAAGGAGCTCTGGACCACGACCCCTCTCAGGTAGAAAGGCCACATCTGTCACCACAATGCCATGGGCCTCCCTCACATAGTAGAGACACTAGGGCAGAAGGAAAACCAGTGAAGAAAGGCCTAGGAACCCTCCTTCTGGAACACATGCTTCCCACCCCTAACTCTCCAAAGTGAGCCAGACTCCTTGCTGCACATTCAGGCTAGAGACAGGCCTACAGTCCCCACAGGGCTCTGCCAACCTCCACCCATTACCTGGAGAGAGAAAGCTATGTAGATGGCAACAGAGCCAGTGACCGTGCCCAGGCCTAGGAAGGTGCCCGATTCACTGCAACAAACAATAAAGTGCTCGTTGTCCTAGAGGCTTATGCTATAACCCTTACTCACCAGTATCAGTCCTCAGGCAAGACTCCTTTCCAAGTGCCCCAAGGAGCCCCCATCCAGCCAAGCCAGCACTGTCCCACACCTGATGTTGAGGCAGGAGATGACTTCATGACCACAGGGCTTGGTCCGAAGGGGCAAGAAGGTGGAGCCATCCCAGGCTGTGAGGTAGCAGGGTGGGGGCTGGCGCAGGCGTTGGTGGGGAATCTGTACTGTGAAGAGTCGCAGCCCAGCAGGGTGGTCTGGAACCTGCCCAAACCTGGGGGCCAGGTGAGGGGCTTTTCAACTCCTGGGGCCTGCCCAACCCTCCTCAGAAGTTTGAGCCCCCTGGCACTCTTGTCAGCCCTGGGGTAACACCTAAGTCCACAACCCTGCCTAGCTCTCCCACACTGAAGCTGGGCTGTGCCTCTTTAGCCACCCTCCAGGGTCTTCACACCTGCAGGCCTGGTAGCGATAAGGAGTGTTAGGAAAGGTAGGTCCATTCTCTTGCCAGTGCAGCTGCATCACTAGCTGATCCTTCTGCCACACGCAGGCCTTCCTGTCCCAGCCCACAGTTACCAACTGGTCAAGAATAAAGATTCCAAGGATGAACTGTTAGGGGATCCACTTACTGAGGAAGCAGCATAACTACTCACTTTCTCCTTTCTCCACCTCCTCACCTTGCCATTAGGCCCCACAGCCAGGTCTGCAATCTCCCCTTCATGGGCTTTATACTCCAGAATTTTCTCCAGACTGGGCACCTACAACGAAACCACCACCAGTTAGCGCATGTCCACAGCAAGAGGACTAGGATTCCCACCTACATTTTCTTCCAATGGCCACTTGGTGCAAGCTTCACTCACAAGCTTCCCAGCACCCATGTTCAGTTTCCCACAATTTTGGTCTTGCTGCTACTGACATTCATCTTCCTTAGCTCCCCAAAATCACACCTTCCAGATACGAACGTAGCCATCTGTCCCTCCAGTGGCAAGCAGGGTATTATCACGGTTAAAGCACACAACTTTCTGCAGTGGATCAGGGCCAAAGTCTGTCTGTACCGCCTGCAAATTCTCTACCCCGAGTTCTACCCCCTCACGCTGGGTTTCGGCTTCAGACTTCTTCTCTGCTGTGGCTGGCCCTTTCCTTTGTCGAGGCCCCTGCTCCTTGGAACCTGTAAGACAAACAGCCTGCCAGGTTCCAGGCTTCTACATACTACTTTCAGCCTGCTACTGCAACCCCACTTCCTGCCCTAATTCTATGTACAGAAGGGACCTTACTCATTTAACCCTTTTCTAAAAGGGCTAGACTTGCAGAGGTGTTCAACTTTTTTTTTCTTTTCCACACACTTAAGAGTAAGAGTTGTCCTTGGGCAACACATTAAATACACAAACACTAATGAAAGCCGATTAAAACAAAAAAATCCATGCATAATTTTTAGGATATCCAACACCACAGATAAGCAAAAAAGTCCCCACAAAATCAGCATGTGGCTGGATCACAGGTTGTACACCCCTGGGCTAGGAGAACTCCTCACCTGCCTTCTCTGCCTTGTTGTTGCCCTTCTGCTGATGGACCCGGAAGCGCAGGAGCTGGCAATGGGCATCCTGCCCTGCAGCAAGGATGTTACCGGCCAGTGCCAAGTTCATGGTAGCTCGAGTCTCTGTGTCATGGGAGTGCAGCAAGGAGGCGCTCAGGCGCCCATTAATCTTCTCTAGCTGCAGAAAGTGCTGTGGAAGAGGGAACCAGGATGAGCATAGTTCAGGGGTGCCCAGAAAGCTCGTCAAGGAAAAACTTACATCCTAAGTCTGTTGCCTTACCCCTCTGTTTACTGCACTTTTTAGTTCACGGCTTTCTCCAATCTTTTTTCGCTTATTTGGGCCTGACCAATCTGTACAGCAAGCAGGGCTGGATTACCTCCATTTTTTAGAAGAGTGAAGCTCACAAAAGTGAAGCAACCTAGCCCAAAGAACAAATGCACTACTCTTGCTGCTCCTAAAAAGCAGACAACACTGTAGCCTCCTCGGAAAAGGCCAGGATAAGGGCCCTAAAGCTGCTCCGAGGTCCAGCTGAAGGTTCCCGCCTGTGCAGCTCTGTATACAGGTTTCACTATACCTGAGGAGTCAGCTCCTCAACTTTACCAGCTAAGTTCTTGTCTGAAACTCGCGCCTAGGCCTCCGGAATGTCAGGGTTTCCTACGGAAATGGGCAGGGCCCGAACCTAGGGTGCTGCCCGCCTTAGCGACCCCAGGACCCCTGGAATTGCCCTCAGCCCGCGGCGTGATCCAGCCTCCGCGGCCTTAGACTCACCACGCCATTCTTTATGCCTGTCTTGGCGGCACCTCCTCCGCCTGCAGCGATGAGCAGCCCTGCGCTGGGGTCGACCTGAAGCGCGTACAATGGGAACGGAGCCCGGTAAAGCTCCGGCGCCCGGCGCCGGCCCATCTCGCCGGCCGCGCGTTCACTGCCCGCACCGCGGCACCCAGGACATGCCGCGCCCGGCCTTCCACTGCTGCCCTAGCCGCTGTGGAACTTAGTCCGGTCGCCGCCAGGAGCTCTCCCGACTTCTCTCACACCCGCGGGATTACCAAAAGCCCTAAACACCGCAGAGTCTGTATCAGGGTTCCCGTCCCTCCTAGTTGGTCTCGCAGCCACGCAGTGCGCACGCGCACCTGTCCCGCGGCCTGCTCCGCGCAAGCGCAGAACCGCCGATACGCGTCAGCACTAGCCCGCCGCAGAGCCCGGAACCCCGGCCTCTGCCCGGCCCCTCAGTGCTCCGCCATCTTTGTGCGGGGCATGGGAGGCAGACCTAACGGAAGTTAATCAAGGTCAATGAGCCTTTAATAAGGAAATCTTCGAATTAGGGCTGGCCCCACTTCAGGTAAAAGTAAAGACTGGGCTTTACCCCAGAGAGGAAGTGATTTGTCCAAGGACACACGCCATAAGTCTCTTGCCTCTTAATGCAGTCAGCATGGAGTTGAAAATAGACCTGGCTTAAAATCCCTGATCCACCACTTCCTAGTGTGGGAAAATCACTACTAACCTTAATGAACACCTATCCTCCACAACTGGCAGAGGCGGCAGCCAGCCGTTCCCTTCTTTGCCTGAGGGTTGGTGGGTGAAGCTGGCTTCAGCTGAAGGCAGTGTAGTTCCTAAACGGGTGTCCTCTGTGGCTGACATCTCACCCCACCCTCCTGAGGAGGACCTTGGGTTTCTGTGTGAGAACCTTGGTGCTCCCTGCAAGTGAGTATTGGAGATGCCCTTCCTTGTAAGGAGACACCCGCTGCAGCATCCTCCTTAACCCGGGTGCCCCCAGAGTAGGGTGACCAGACGTCCCGCTTTTGAACAATTTGTCCTGCATCCCGCGTAGTTTTTAAAAAGTCCCGATTTTGGAAAGAATGCACGAACGGGTTGGAGAACAGGAAGGGAATATACGGTTTTTGGCTGCTATATGGCTATTTCTCCAGAATATGAGTTTTATATTATTTTTGTTAATTTTATAATGTTAAACTGTAATAATAACAAATAATTGTTGAGAAGTGATTATCAAGAACTGCTTATCAAAGTTTGCACTATTGTCAGGTCCTGCCCTGACCCGTCCTCTGCCCCACCCGGCCCTGCGCCCCGCCCCACCCCGCCTGCCAGGCATGTTGTCCAGCTTTACCAATGTTAAAATCTGGTCACCCTACCCCAGAAGAAAGGGCCCAGTGGTTTCATCTTTGTGGATACCCTGTCTTATCTGCCCCACAAAGTTGATTTAAGTGAATGAAGGGCCTACCCGAGCCCTCTCTGCATCTCAGGTGCTCAGAACTTGTGGGTGTCTTATCCTCCTTGGATATACGGCACTAGTAGCTCTCCCTGGCCTGTTTCCTCTGACACCCCCAACTCTAGGATCTTCCTGGGTACTAGGACCTCCATAGTTACAGCCACTCATTTTGTGAGTTCAGCAGGACAGGAATACAAGTTTCACAGGGTCAGGCTTTATTGGATTCACTGAAAGCTGAATGAGGCCTCAGGTGCGCTTGGTCCTCTTCAGCCAGGGGAGAGCAGATTCCACAAGGGGCTTCCAGGGTTCAGGGCAGGAGAGCATGCCTGACCTCCAGCCAGCCAGCCCTTCAGGATGTTCCGGGGGCTTCCTGAAATCTGGGGCTTGGTAGAGAGAGTGGGGTTTGAATGGGGTGCTCCAGGGAGCCTCCGTGGCTCTGGAACTAGGATAGTGACTTTTGGAGAATGAGCTCTGGAGAAGCAGCCCTCTTTGGGGCAGGGGAAGGCCTGGGCTTCAGGAAGGCAGTGGCCTGTTTTGATGCCTGTGGTTGAGGTCTGGAACACGGTGTGGAATTTGGTGATCGAGGACCTGCAGACCTGAGGCTCCCGGTCTGGGACAGTGTGCCTAGGGCTGGATCTGCCCTGGGCTGAGCTGGGGCTGGAGCTGCTGGAGCTGAAGACATCCTCGATTGATATCGATGGGCCTGAGTATCCTCTCCCTGAGGCCTTAGTTCCGCCTGTCTTCTTTCTGGCAACAGATGCAGGGCCCTGGCCTGGCCCTGAGGCAGGCGGAGGCCGAAGCCGATGCCCATGCGGAGTGGCCCAGATTCCTGGCCCTGTGCACAGGGCAGTAGTTGGGGGAAGGCAATCAGCCGGGGTCCAGTCCTGTACCTGGGGGCGGGGCAAGAGGGGGTGCGAGGCCGAAGACACACCAGGCATACAGGGTACTCCACGAACGGGGCCTGGCCGGTTGTGCCTAGCCATAGGCGCTGCAAAAGCAGTAGCCGCAGGTCGTGTGCGATTCGGCGGTGCCCCAGATGGACCACCAGAGCCTGAGCCAGGGCCCCTGGGTCCCTGAACTCTGCAGGATCCTTCTCGCTTGCCACACATACCCCCTCCACCCCAGGGGACCTGGTGTCCCCGTACTGATGCCAGTCCCACGTCTGCTTGTTAGAGTGGACCCTACCAGAAGGTGGGCTGGGGCTTGGAGAAGTGAGCGTGGAGCTAGGTAGGTCTTCAGGGTGGGAAGGGGATTGGCAAGGTGAGTAGGGGAGGGAGGAATTCTGAGGCTGGGAGGGAGAAGAGGAGAGCGTGACAGGAGGAGAAGGCTGCCCCTTGGGGTTGAGGGGTGAGTAGGCACGTTGAAGGGAACGAGAGAGGAAGTTCTGGTGAAAGAAAGTGGGGGAACTTGGGAGAGAGGAAAAACAAGGATGTGTAGCAAAGTCAGAATTGGAGTCAGATGAATAAAATTGGAAGTCAGGAGAGAAGAGTGGAGTAGGGGGGAAAGGGAGATGGGCTTGAGCAGAAGAGGAGAAAGGTGAGTGGGAGAGAGGGGGTGGCTGCTGGGGAAAGAGAGGATGTAGGTTGGGGGAGGTGGAGTCCACAAGTTGTGAGAAGCCCTGAGGGGGGCGCCCCGAGGGCACTTCGTTTTGTAGCAGCACCTGGTCCTTGTTTCGAGGCAACATTGCCTTGAGTCCAGAAGGGACCTGGGCGACAAGACCAGAGATCAGAGACCTAGCAGAGTCAGGACCAGTATCTCTGGGGCCAGTGGCACCTGAGAAATCAAGGCCACCTTTTGTGCACGACGCAGCTCCAGCCTGGTGTTGGTGGTAGGCCAAGGAGACACACAGCCCTCTAGCACCAGGCTCCCTAGGTGCTCAGAAAGGAGCTTTGAGTCTAAGCCTGGCTTCTCACGTCTTTGCAGTTAGCCATTGAGGAGGGATGTGAGTGTATGGAGAATCAGAGCTGCCTCCTGGGAGCAGAGGGGCAGTAGCGATTATCTGGGTGGGAGATACAGGGAGACACAGCCCATGAGACCTGTAGAGAAAAGACAGAGGCCAAGATGTTGGGAGGACTGTTCCATTTCTCATCCTGCCTCATGTACCCAGTACCAGGCTGAACTCACCAAGAACCTAAATCCATTCTCCTTTCAGGGTCAGAAGAGTTGGCAAAATGGTTCAAGGATGGTAAGAAGGGGGGGGCACATGAGGCGTGAGATGGGAACAAAAATTCAGGGTGTTCTGGTGCTAAGAGAGGATCTTACCAATGAGGATTCCTCTGGGCTGTTTTCACAGTCACTTCAGCGATGAGGGGACCTGAAGAGAGAAGAGGAGAGTCACCAAAATGGTGGACACACTTCCCTCTGTCCCAAGAGTCTATCTCCCTAAACTCACTCTGACCCAGATTTCTGTCTGAGCTGGGCCTCAGTCCTCCTTCAGCCAGGTGGAGATCTCCGTCACAGGTTTTTGTTCTCCTTGTCCTGACTCGGGGGTTCTTCAAGCATCCTGGTTTCCTGCCACTCTGGTTCCTCTGACCCCTTGTCACCCCTAATGCTAATGTCCTCTAGCTCAGCCTGGCCCTGGCCAAGGTGGCTTATCACACCCAGCAGCAGCAGTAGAAATGGGGCCAGCTGGTAAAAGCCTCTGGAAGACTGGGACTTTGTCTAAGGGGCGGCGACCCTTGCGCCGCCCCCAGTGGGAGCTGGGGGCCCCATTTCCTGAGAACACTTTTCCCTGGCATCAAGTGCCCATGTCACAAAGGTCAGGTGCTGACATCACAGAATCTCCTCAAGGGTCTGGGACCTTCTTTCAGAGTTTACCCAAAAGCTGATCTGTGACAAAACTGAAGCAGGCAAAATTCTTTTTTTTTTTTTTTTTTTTTTTTTGAGACAGACTCTCACTATGTCGCCCTCACTAGAGCACTGTGGCATCACAGCTCACAGCAACTTCAAACTCTTGGGCTTACACGATTCTCTTGTCTCAGCCTCCCAAGTAGCTAGGACTACAGGCACCCATCACAATACCCGGCTATTTTTTGTTGTTGTC